GGGGGGGGGTGGTCTGGGGCGGAGGGAGGGAGGGAGGCAGGGAAGAAAGACCGCGTGGAGTCGCCCTGTGGAGAGGCGTAGGATAGGCTGGTAGGACCGACGGCTAAACGGGCGGCTGACAGGCCTACGAGGGGTGAGGCACAGCCTGCCCGTTGGATGAAGTGAACCTGCTCCAGGTGTGGCGCAGGACTAGGACCGGGCAGCACTGACAGACCCGAAGGCTCAAAAACCCAACTACGAGGCCCAGAAACATCAAGATGGATTCAACAGGATGATCTGTACGTCTTGCGACACGGTTCAAAAAATGGCTCTGAAACTTGAGGCAGAAGGCACTTTCCACACACACCATCCCGCAGGGGTCCTCCTTTCCCTATGGCTTACAAGCCAGGATGGGGCTGTTAGAGGTGAGGCACTGTGGCGGGAGAAGCACTCTCCTGGCTGGGCTCTCGGATGCAGAAATCAAGTGTTGGGGGGACTCAAAATGTGTCGTGTTTTCAGACCTGTAACTCCCCTTTAAATGTTGCGTCTGTCTTCTCCCCTGCCACCCCCACTATTAAAAGGTCCCTACACAGACAGTAAGGGACAATACTGAATTACAGGAATGTGAACGTAACTTTCAGAAAATAGAAAAGACTGTTTATTTGTCTAAATCAGCAAATTATCCACAGCACCATATTAACAATGCAGGGGGTGAATATCAGTATAGATCTTTACACTTAACATCTTTTTAAATTCCAAGATTTGTATTTTAAAGGGTATTTTGTAGGAGATTGTGATGTCTGTATGTAGATAAACCGAATCTGGGTTGTGATATTAACAGAAAGATGAGCAATCGGACAATATTGTCCATCCAAGACCCAACTGTGTATTTTGCAGTTTCCTTCCATTTGAGCATTGGAGAAAAGGAGTTACAGAGCCATGGATGTTATAAATCCCCACCTTCTGCCACAAAATATGGGTCAGTGTCACGGCTAGAATAAGATCAAAAAACCTGGTAAATTCAGTCTTCTCCCCTGCCACCCCCACTATTAAAAGGTCCCTACACAGACAGTAAGGGACAATACTGAATTACAGGAATGTGAACGTAACTTTCAGAAAATAGAAAAGACTGTTTATTTGTCTAAATCAGCAAATTATCCACAGCACCATATTAACAATGCAGGGGGTGAATATCAGTATAGATCTTAACATTTAACATCTTTTTAAATTCCAAGATTTGTAGGGTATTTTGTAGGAGATTGTGATGTCTGTATGTAGATAAACCGAATCTGGTTGTGATATTTAACAGAAAGATGAGCAATCGGACAATATTGTCCATCCAAGACCCAACTGTGTATTTTGCAGTTTCCTTCCATTTGAGCATTGGAGAAAAGGAGTTACAGAGCCATGGATGTTATAAATCCCCACCTTCTGCCACAAAATATGGGTCAGTGTCACGGCTAGAATAAGATCAAAAAACCTGGTAAATTCAAATGATCCTGACTGGAAGATCAGTGGAGTTTAAAAAAAAAAAAAAACAAACCCCCCCACAAAACCAACAAACAAACCCACAAAAAACACACACAAAAAAACCCACACCTTTTTGGTCTCATTTAGTTATTTGTTATTTTGATTCCATAGGAATATTCTTCTGTATGGCCTATTGCAACAATTTTGACCTTTCGTCCTAAACTCTTTTTGAAAAAATGTTTGGACACTTCTTGATTCCTGAATAATCAAATGCTGTTTGTTTTATTTGTTCATATAGAGCAAAATCCCATTTATCTGTACCCCTTTGATCTGAAACTCACTCCTTTGAATCTAGGTTATGTCCCCCTGGTGTGAATTACTTATACAATAACTCCCTCAATTATTTGAAGCTCTGTTTATCGAAATGTTTTGATGTTCCAAAAGTATTTTGAATAAACAGGGCTCTGCTATCGTTGGATATATCAGGTATCTTTGGGGATGCATATAGGATGATTTCCCCTGACCTTATTCTGTATCATCTTGTGCTTAAATGAACAGGCAGTGTAAACTTAAGTGTATAGTTAGTGTATTGGCACCATCTTCAGTACTTTTACTTCTTTCCCCATTAATTATTTTTCTTTTGTTGTTCTCCTTAAAGGACTAAATCCCAGAAATTTCACTCAGGAAGGCCTCAACACAGATGCCAGCAAAAGTTTTGCTTGAGTAAGGAGTGAATAAAAAAAGTAATGATCTAGAATTTTGTTCAGTTTTATCATACTTCTGAAAGAAAGCAGAGCAAAATTATTTGCTTTTTTTGGCATTTTTCACCCACTCCTATTGACACTAGCATGTGTCTAATGGAAGTCCTCATGTTCATTTGTTTTCTTAGATGCTTGCCATTGCCTTTCTTCTTATTCCCATGAGAATCTTAAGGGTCAAGATGGATCATGAAATGATGCAAGAAGCTAGAGGAAAAAACAGGTCCATGAGGACATTTTATTCAATATTTTTCACTTGATCAGTTGAATGTATTTGTGGAGTTTTAATAAAAATAAAAAAAGGAAGTGTCAGGCTTCCAAGAAAAGGCACCAATAAACTTGTTGTCCTGGTTTTGGCAGGGATAGAGTTAATTTCCTTCCTAGTAGCTGGTACAGTGCTGTGTTTTAGATTTAGGGTGAGAACAATGTTGATAACACACCAA